AGGTATTGCTGCATTGCTGCTTTTCTGGGACGGCCACGTTTCTTTGAAGAAATCCGCACCGCTTTGTGGCTGCTTTGACGTGCTTTGAAGGCAGCCTAATAGAAAATAATAATTGCGTGGCTCTGCAAGTGATTGGCAACCAGGCTGACGCAGACAAAGACTTTGATGACTCAGGGGAAGCCAATTTGGACAATCCCGCGGAACCTGACGCTGATCCTTTTGCTGGACGTGAGGCTGATGCTGAGGAAGAAGAGCAGGCGGCGCCAAAGACACGGCAGGAACTGTACCAGTTCTACAGCGGGAAGGCTCCCGGCGCAATGGTTATGGATTTTTTGCAAGATGAGTCACTGCGGTCCACTTGCATCATTATTCCACACATTGCAGGTGTCCTGGAGGAACTTTATTCTGGCGATTTGCAAATGATGAAAGAAGGCGTGATTCAGCAACAAGCGTTTGCGGCTAGGCGCGCGTGGCTTTCCGACCATTCTTTTGCGACAGCTGTGAAGTGCGTGCAGGCAAGTTGCAGTGATGATCTAGCTCAATCTTTGGGGATGACGCGAGCTTGCCCCGCAGCTGACCGGGCAGCGCAGCGTGCTGCGTGGTTGCTGGATGAAGCCAAGCTGGCAGAACAGGCCTTCCAATTTGGATGCGCGCTTGCCAGTGAAATTATGTGGACTCATTCAAGGTATCACTGGTCCTTTCCGAACTGTATTGCCCTCTACCTTTTGCCCGTACGAGATGACAGGGAGAAGGCCTGCAAGCACATGCTTGAGATTACCCAGGCACTTGCAGCAGCCGAAAAGATTGAGAACCCGAGCAAAGATTTGACGGAATGCTTGCAAGATCTGGGCTGGCACACTGACCACCTCCCTCGTATCCTCATGAAGCACTGTCTCGCCCACAACTTCAGCCCTGATGACAAAGCAACAAGGATTCTTGCCTCCAGGCTTTTTTCTGGCACTTCATCAACCAAAGAACTGTTAGAGAGCAATTTCAACAACATGTCAAGGCACTGGGGCGGGACGAGCGTTAGCAGGCTAATAGTATCTAATAGTGCACTAATAGAAGGCCAATAGTTTCCATTATCCACCTTGTTTCCGGCTGAACTTAAATTGGGGTGGCTGCTGAGCCCTGGTAGGCAAGCTCACTATGCGAACACCCGCGCCCTGCATGTCATGGCTTTACGCCACTGGAAGCCCGTATGTCAAACAAGGAGGAGCAAAGCAAATTCTACCGTCGGAGACAGACTGGAACTTGACGGTCTATTCACCCGCTGGCCGCAGGGCCCGTCAGTCTGAAATGGCATCCTGGTTTGACGTGAACAAGACATCCTTGCCGGCAAGGGCGTGGGAAGGTGAACCGCCCATCGAACCTGGGCAGAAGACGACATGGCGAGCTGCTGGTGGCAAAGCGCTGGAACGCAGTGCGGCTGCTGCAGCCTACTTGGTGTCGGAGAAAGAGTGCGACTTCAGAAATGCCGGCAATTGCTGGGCAGGCTAGGCTTGGTCTGGGCAGTCGTTTTTGTCATTTGTATGTTTGACGTTATATGCATGATTCTGAATCTCGTCTTGAGTGCGATTTGTAATATTGTCTTGTTGACTGAATGATTGAAATCAAGAACTAGACACAGGCACGGCGCTAGACTGGAATTTGGTTTGTTACTGTCTGACTGAATCACTGAAGGCGCTTTGTTTTTGGACAACCACATCTATTTTCACCGCCGAACTCAGCGATATTTTTTGCTTCTTGGTTTTCGCACATGGTGCGCGATTGGGCTGCATATGAAAATTCATGTGCTGGGTGGGAAGCAGTTTCTGGTTGTTTCGCAAACGCAACGCAAGCCCGCGTATTTGATGAATTTTACAACCAATGATGCACAGTGTGGGTATGGCCATATTCCAACAGAATTGGCGCTTCCTTGCGAGCTTCCAGCGGAGCTTGCGCAGTCTGGACTGGGCACAGCCTTGCGCATTACAGGGCCAGAAGAGCCCATGCTTTCTTCGGCCATCAAGAACGGACTGTTCTTAACTCTGCCCCAGCTGAAGAGTGTGATGCGCTCAATCAAAGCGCCAACGCCCCAAGTTGGCTCTGGGAAAAATTCGGCTGTGCTGAAGAAGGACTTGGCGTTGAGTTTGGTGAAGTTTCTTTTCCCGACCGCTGAGCAAAGTGAAGTCCTTCGAATGGTCAAAGCGTTGCTGAACAAAGCCGATCTTGGCCTCCAAGGTGAGGAACAGGTGGTGGCACACATGGTGGCTTGCTTGGATGCTTCCTGTCCTGGCGTAAGTAGTTGTTGACAGCGTCTGTTAGAAAGTTTGACAATTTTTGAAACTTGGTAAGTGCCTATTATAATACTATTTGATGTTTATTACACACCATTTTTTTGAAGTTGTCCCTCGTTTTATTAGCTGTTCAAACGTGAGATGACAGTGCGTATACTAACTTAGCTTATGGCCAGTTCGCGCAACGCAAACAATTTTCGCGTTTTTAAGCTGGGTTCGGATAATTTTAAATGGGTTGCGCTAGTATCTTTTTTGTTTGGCAACTTGCAGGTTGAAAATGCACGAGAGTTTAAAGAGCTTGCCGAGCATGCGCAGCAGCGATTAGAAGAGCAAGACTTGGAGAAAGAGCAGTTGAACAAGGAAACCATTCGCAAGCTGCAGGTCACAGTGAAAGAGATGACTGAAAGACTTGAGAATTTGGAAAAGGCTTCTTCATCAGCTGGCCAATTCGGAGGTGGCGCGCCGCCGGGTGTGCCGCACGCTGCCAGTGCCAGTGGCGCGCGGGTGGCTGTGACGCCCGTGGAGTTCAAGAACCTACTTCCTTTCAATGGGGCAGTGCGTGGAATGTCAGGGAAACATGACGCGGCTAAATCAATGTACACTGTGGTTTATCCTTGCCCAGGAGAGTCTGTGTCATCCTGTTCGCGGTCTTGGCCTACCGTTCGATGTGCTGATGAGATGTCGGCGTTGTTGACCGTCCTGAATTGGACCTACAGCCGCTACAACAAATCCAATGCAGAAACCCTTTCAGTGTGTCTTGGCTGTTCAGTTCAATACCAGTGTCAAACAGTTGTGGTTATCCAATATTGTCCAATTTTGTTGCATGGTTCTTGTAAACTGATCAGTGAGGCCTGGTCATGAGCAATTGCAAGCCTACATCAACGCGCACTCCACTGACGGGTGATGGTAGCAGAACGTGCAGACAGACAGGCATGCGAAGTGGCAGGAGGTGAAAAGAGCGGATTTTGCCAGATTTTTGACAGACTTCATAATAGCGACTAATAGTGCACTAATAATATTGGCCACTTTTACCCCCTCAATATAGCACTCTATTAGTATACTATATTTCACGATGAAAGTCATCTGGCTATTAAGCACCAATAAGGTCATAATAAGGCCTTAGAAGGTTGCTTGCGCAGAGCTGTGGGGCTTATTTGGTTGGGGGGGGTTGTGCTGGGGGTCGTGACACCATCCATGATTGTTTGTCTAGGTCCCCCAGTAGTGCCTTTGACCAAGATTTTTGGGGGAGGGTTCCCCTACTAAAATAGACTACAAAACAAAAAAATGGTACCCTTATTCTAACCTCTCTACTGGACCTAGTTGTTTTCCGGGCTTGGGGGTCTGGCGTGGAATGTCGTGAGATACCAAGTGGAAATGCCACACCTCACCAGCACCAACAAGAACATCGAGCTCCTTGAACGGGGCACAACGGGCAATGAGGGTCCCTCACTTGGATTCTGCTCCGGAACTTGCCTATGAAGAGCATGCTGGTCAGACTGGCCGTCTTGCATGGGGAAATGAGCAGGACATGGAGGCATGTTACCTTAGCTTAGACCAACCAGCAAATCAGCTAAATTGGGCCAAATGGGCATCGGCGAATTTGCGAGCTCATTTCACAGTTTGCATGGTTTTTGCACAACTTATAGCTGCACAATGGGCGCTTGCGAAAATTCCTCATGTTTCTGTTGGCCCCTTTCATATGGCCCCTCCCTTATGGCTGGCGAATTGCTATACTTCTCCCAGATGGGTCAGCAGTGCGCCCTTTTATTGGACCCCGCGTCTGGTTGTATGACTGCTCTTGTGTTGCAATTACTTGAATTGCACAAATGTCTTGTTGGTTTCAGTTTTCCAACATCGGCCCCCTGGCGTTCCAGTGGCCAGCGGTGGCCAAGCGGGAAGATGTCAGCTCTGGTGCTCTTGCCACGGATAATTTTGGAACAGGAAAGCCCTGTTGTTCAGACGCACCCTACGCATTCTGTTTTGCTGTGTGTGGCCCGGAACCACGATATACAAATGGTCCACTTCAAGTCTTTCACGTCACTGGTTGTCTTTCGTAAGAGAACGAGCTCCACACAAAGTTGAACTTTCCAGATGGAACCGCGCGTCGGCTCTCCAATCCCATGCCAAAACTCGCCACGCGCTGTGGCTTGCCCAAACTGGACCAAGTCTGGCGGCCAGATTAAACATCGCTCGAAACCAAAAGTGGCACCCCTCTGCAACCCGCTGAGGTTTAAGCAGCCGGGACAGGTCCTGCGGAAGTCAAAGACACCGCAAGGTAACCTGATCGGTATCCCCTTTTGGGCGGGGCGTCCCAACCCTGTTTCCTTTGCGATTTTGCTTGCTGGACTCAACATGATCATTAGACCTAGATAGCCATGTGCTGTTGTTGTCCGCTACCTGTGGATGTTTTGAGTGTCAAGTAACTATAGGACAAAACAGTGACTTGGCCGAACGGGAATGCTGCTACCCTTGGCAATTGGACGTGCCGTTTGTGTATAGTCGCTGTTTTCGCATGCGGAGCGGGCTCCCTGTCGACAAAGACAAGTCTTTTCAGCTCCTCAAGCAAACCAAATGGCTGTGGGTCAAAACCAATGGTACCATTTTGGGGTAGGTGAATTCACCACCCAACTTGGTCTATTTAAAGTGGAGATTGGGATGTTCACTGGGGGTACGTTTTGGGTTTTGAACATCACAGGAAATGGGCAGATCGATTGCGCCAAGGAGTGCCAAGCACACGGGAACTGCTGCCCAGATGCCTTCCGCTGCCGCGAGCTCTGAGTGGCAGGTTTCTAAGAAGGGAGTTGCCTACTTCATGACGCCAGCTCACCGATTGGGGGGTATCACGTTCGAAAGCCATGATCAAGGTCCTTTTCTTGCGGATTCAAGTCGTAATTCAGCTTTTGGGCATATCGTACACTTTGCAGATGGACGCATGCGAAAACTGGTTCAACGTTTGGCACGGCCCATTTCACATCTTTGGCCTGCACAGTCCGAAATGCTGGGTTTGAAGCGGCTACCTTCAGGCTTGCTACTTCGGCTGTCGCTTGCTTGCTACTTCGGCTGTCTCAGAACTCGAGTGCAGTGCCTGAACTTTGATTCACCGCCGTCCTTCCATGACTGTTCGTCGCAAGGGTCTAATTCTAGTGCGAGAAAAGGGCATAATTCTAGTGCGCTCATTTGGACTCAAAGAGTCTGTGCATGTTGGGGCAAAGAGCTCAGAGATCGAGAAACTTGGCTTTCGGGCCCCAGCTTTCCAAAAGCCGGGGCGCACCGGAGCCACACGCCCGTTGCTGGCTGCGGAAAGAAGCAAACAAGGCGGAGCAGAGCTGGCAACTGCGCGCGCGACTTGAGCCAGATGCAAGCAAGAAGTTTCTCATTGTAACATGTGGTGCTAGCACTCATATTTGGAAAGCCAAATTAATTAATGAATAAGTGTCTATCATCACATTTGTTTTTGATGTGGCGACAAAGTCTTGCCCGTTGCCCTTTGCAGAAAAGCAGACACCAAAGAAACATGACCCATTTCGGGGCTTTCCATTTAGACACAAGCCCTTGCTGAATGTTCAGCTCAGACCCGCGTTGAAACAGCACACCCTAAACCGGTTCCCTTAGGCCTCTGGTGGAAACTGCTAAAGTTGTTGACTGAGGGTCCCCTTCCCTCGGGATCACGCCATTCCGCGCGTAGCGCGCGGGAAGTCCTTGCCCGTTGAGCTGGCCGTGTCCATGAAACATACGGATCCCAGTGGGCAACTTATGGTGATTTTAGCGGTTTTGCAACTTCATGAAGCTTCCTGTATTGGGGGTCCCTTATGTCAAGTTGTGGAATGTAATTCACCCTATCTCTGGAAAGACTGCGTGCAGGTACAGAGTAGGAAAGGCCCAATGCTCATATTATGCCGGCATCTCTTGCCTTCCCTGTTGTGCTGCAAGAAGGCGCAAGTTTGCCCGCTTGATCCATTATTGGGTCCCGTGTTCGAGGTACGTTCTACGGGAAGCCAATAAGAAAAACTCCAAACCGTACACGCCATCCCAACTTGCCCATTCATAGATTCTAAAATGTAAATGACGGGGGTTCGGCAAGCTTTCCCATGTCACTTGCGCTGCCCTGAGCAGATCTTTCTTACTTACCACGAGAATGTTGAGTGAGGACAATTTACATCCCGCTCGTCACTCTTTCCTGAAAGCTACCGGAGAAATATCGCCCCTGTTAAAGCCTTGTTTTTTTTTTCCAGAGTTGAAACTGAGGCGCCACTGGCCTCAGGGAGTAAGCAGCTGTATGTCGACCCTGAGCATCCAATCAGGGATATCAGGGGTTTCCCCCCTTAGCAGGATGCCCCACAATGCTTGCTGCGGGATGATTCATCACTAGCCAAGTGGTTGATAGAGCTAACCCACAATTGACTACTTGCATGCTTGTTACATCCGGGTATGCAGGTCAATGTAAACCAAAACAACCCCTCCAAAGTCTTAGGGTTCCTTCAGGTTCCTCGGGGTTTCCTTGAACCAAAGCGCTTGATTTCATGGTGAGGTTCCCGCAGTCCTTTTGCCAGTGGGAGCCCAAGTCCGGAGTCTTCCTCGCCTCAAGCCCCATGTTGGAGCCACGTGGGACCCGAAGGCCAACAGTCCTACTCCAGCGGGCCCCACAGCATCCCCCGTTTGATTAGAAATACAAACTCCCCTGTGTGTCTTGCTATTTGTTCGGGGGTTGCCCAAAGGAAAACCGGGACACCGGAACATTTGGGTCGACCGAACACCCCCAGTCCCCCGACTCGACTCGGTAGACTCCGGGGTCGTTTCTGCGCCAGGCTTGGCCAAAGCGCAGTTCGATGGCCGCGCCTGGAGCGAAGAGGCGCCGAAAACGTGCGGAGCTCGTGGTTGAGCCATGCCCGTCGTGTCGGCTCCGTTTGCACAGAGATGTAAGGTGGATGGAACATTAGACGCTGCTGCCACAAGTATTGGTTTCAAATGCAGCGCACTAGCTATCTTGGACATGGTAAATCTGCAGGCGACAGCAGCGGCAACAGGAGCAGCATCAAGAATCCGTGGCGAACAGCAACAGCCAGCTGCAAATGAAACAGCAGCAGCAGCAGCATCAGCGGCAGCAACCACGACAACAATAGCGGCAAGGAAAACAGCAATGTTAATGTTACCAATGACCCACCAACGACCAACCAGCAGCCAAAACGCAAACAATTGCAACAACCACCACAAGCACAGCAACAGCACCAGCAACATCAGCAACAGCCGCCGCATCAAGTTCACATCAACAAACAATCGATCAACTGAGCATTCAAGCAAACCAACACGCAAGCAAATAAACTAACACACCTAGAAAAGTCAAGCAACACTAGCAATCAATTAGAGCGGACAGCCAAGCAAACCCATATACAACAACAGCAACTGCACCGGCAACGACTAACATCAACAAACGCAACCACTGCAACTGCAACCACAAGCAAAACAGCAGTATTGGCGGCAGCAGCAGCAGCAGCAAAGCCGCAATTGCACTTTCATCAACCACAGCGTATGCAAAGAAAGAGTAGCCTTAATGCAGCACCAGCATCTCCACAACCAAGAAGAGCACAACAACAGCTTCCACGACGATGATCACAACGGCGCTTAACAGAACTAACACAAAACACCAAATGCAAATGAGGCTTTCAGTTTGATTTATCCTCATTCAAGGCTAGAAAGGCGAGCGAGCCAAAGACATCAAGCTGAATTCATGCGCACTGATTTGGGCCCATAGGATCAAACATCAAGTTCCTGGAAGAGCTGCTTGAAACTGCTCGCCCACTAGAGTTATGACATCACGGGAGCATGTCATTTGTTGTCCTCGTTGGATTCTTTGTCATTTCTAGCCCGGACTGACGACATTGTTTGGTTCTGATGATTTAGCAAGCCAGCTGCCGGTGCACACAAAAACACAACATGCAGCAGATGCTGTTTTCTTCATTATGCCCATGAAGCACCGACTTGTGATTTGAGTAGATTGGTGGTTTTCTTGATGCTGATGGTTCGCGGATTCCGGATTGTTGCCCTGCGACAATTGATCGTAAGGAATGTTCCAAGACGGCAATTGTTGAACTAGAAGCACGTTGCAATACTGGATCGTTGGTAGATGGACATGATTCTTTGGATTCTGGCTGCTCCGAGGGCCTGGATGGCTGCGTGTGTGTGTTAAAAGTAACTAGGTACGGAACTTACAAAGACATAAGAATGTGGGAAGATTCGAATTTTGACGCATTAATATGGCCCTACGTCTTTGTGTTGGGATCAAACAGGGACCCTGTTTCTATCACCTAGTGCTACCAGTCGCCACTACAGTCTGTATTCAGGGTTCCTTCCCTCTAGGTTTTACATGATGGTTCCCCCCAGTTGCCTTCTGCAATGGTAGTGTTGACCTCGGATTAATAAACTCCTGTTTACTAATATTGGGGTGTCCCCGGTTTTAGTGGGGATGTAGCACTTTTGGAGGGGAACAACAACGAAAAAAAGAAATCCAAAAACAAAACTAAACAAAAATAAATAAATCCGCACCCTATTAATAAACAGGGGTTTATTAGTCCGGTGTCAACATGAACTGGACGCACTCACCCCCGAGCCTTGTTTCGACCGGATTGTCTGCCCAGCACCCGGACGACTGCAACCACTACCTCAACTTCAATGGGGGGGACCGGGTGGCTCGCGTTCTGCACGCCCAGGACGGGTGCTTGCACCAGGCCTAACAAAAATGCAGTCGCATGTTTCCTGGTAGTAACGAGCTCACCTGGGGGTAACATCAGCTTGCCATGTTTTTTTTTTCTTATTCCTTAGTTAGCTGTGGTGGGTAAAGGAAAGCCCAGAGGCAAGGATCCCTGGTTTCCTATGCTGGAAGCACTGAGTAGGCCATACAATTGGTTCAACAATCTGCTTTCGGTTTTGGGAATTGGCGATTTGGCAAGAATGAAGATGGCGGCAAAACAATCTTGAAAGCTTTGTTGCCCTTCAAGTGCATTTCCGGAGGCTGCCAAACAGCACGGACGATTGGAGCTTTAGTTTGACCTGCCTATGCAAGAATGCTGATTGCGAATTCGCCTCAGCCAACCTGGCAATCCGCCCGGTGTGATTTCGACGCACGTCATTTTCCAGGGAAAGGTGGCGTCATTGAGTTCAACAATCAGGATCATGTTGATTGGATGTGTGAGCTAGTTGCCGTTTGTATCCATATTGCACACGGCCGACTTCAGCTTCATGCTGCTGTTCCAGCTCTGGCGCTATCTGGGCGAGGAGCTTGGCAGTTTCTAAATTCTTAATCTGAACGGACTGACGGATGGTGGCGAAAGACTCTCTGGGAATGCACACTGTTGACAGCTTGCAAGGAGCCGGCGCTCAACCATCTACTCATGACTCTTAACTCCAATGAGTTCCAAGAGCTCCAAGAGGCTTCTCGAGGGCTCCTCGAATTCATTCCAAAGCGAGGGAGCCCTGGCAGCGACAGCCGGATGGGAGGGACCTGCCTAAGAGTGGTCAATGTTCACCAACTGGTGCTGAATTTGTTTCTCAACATGGTTTCAATCACACCATGTTGTGAATAGCATGTTCATGTGAGTCGAGGCAGTGATGAAGAAAGGCGGCTCCCCCGCCGAACGGCTTCGAGAGGGGTGTGTAAAGAAAAGAGACCCAAAGCGAATCCGGGTAAGAGCTGGGCCTCCCCAGGTAGTCTGCAGTTCACTTGGGTCCTCTTCGTTTTTTTGGTCCGTTTTTTTTTCGTTTTTCTGCGTAGTATTGGCTTAGTATTGGTTAGGAATTGGTTTAGTATTGCTTAGTACTGCTTCTTGCTGTAGCACTGGTTTACTTTTTGTACACTGCTGGCTTTTGTAGGTGATTTTTCGTATTGGTTTCGTGCTGCTGTTTGTTGTGCCGTGTGTTCTTATGTCCTGCCAATAGGCAAATGTCCGTGGCTTTCCTGTACCATGTCTGGTTGGCTCTACATGACAATGCATGTCACCTGCAATTTTGCTATTTGGTACCTCATCAATCTCAGTCATTGTACTGGGTTAGTACTGTTTGGAGTGGTGTGTTTCTTCTGTTTGCCATACTAATCAACCGTTTGTCCCGAAGGATTTTCCCGAAGGGTCCACTGGCACGCTGCCCATTGGCACGCCGTGACATGTGCAGGACTCCGTAGAGGGAGATGAGGCTGGCCTTTGGGGTTTCAGGCCTTATTGCCTAGAGGATGAGGTACGGAGTGAAAGTACCGCCCTAGGTTGCACCCTGGGGTTGTATTTCCCAATTCGCTTGGCCACGTTTTGCCCCGAATTCCAGGTGCTAGCCTGATTCAGGCTCTAGTTCAGATATGGGTGCAGGTAGATTGCTTTATGGTTTACAGAAAGACATTGTTTCTTCCCTTCCTCTTTCCGGATTGTGAGCGTCGTCATCGCGACATGAGTCGTCAATAGTAAGGGACACACAGTTTTGAATGCTCATAGCTAGCAGCAAAGTCACGCGCATCACAGACGGTCGTTGAGTTATATATGACAATCATCCACACACAATCCGCCCGCCCGCCCCCATACACACTCACATTCATTGCTTGGTTGTACATGAGGGCATTGGCTCAGGGGGGGAAAAGGAAAGCAGAGGAAGCCAAATGAAAAACCTTGAATTGCCTTCCAGCGATGAGATCTGTGCTGTGTTGCCTCTGAACCTGCCAACTTTCAGTGGCTTCGGTGTCCTTTTTGGGAGGGTGTTACTTCCAACCACTCCTTCGTTTTTCTCCCCTTAACTAGGTACACCGCCCGTAGTGGCCCGTGTAATATCGTGCGTGTTTTGCTTCGGAGCAACCTGTCCAAGCTGCGATTGCAGGGGGGAAAGGAGAGCACTCTCTGTCCCTCTTGTGAAATGCGCCGAGCCAATGGGGAATTTATTGCGGTCCCGAATCCCACTGGAACGCTGCTTTCAAAAGCACATTTTTTCAGCCCCCAACTATCGTCTGTCAAGCATTTTGCCATGTTCAAGACCTTGCCTGGGAATCGCGTGATGAATTATCTTTTCAACAGCCGACAAGGGGGATGGGGGTCCTTAATTTGTTGTCCACCCAAAAGTTAATTCCTCAACTCCGTGTCGGTTTTTCAATTGCAGGCAACACACGGGCTCTTGAGGAGTCAGCGTCGTCTGTCAAGCATTTTGCCATGTTCAAGACTTCATGTTGCCTGGCAACCGCATGATGAATTCTCTTTCCAACAGCCGACGGGGGGAGGGGTCCTTTGTTCACCACAAAGTTAATTCCCCGAATCTTTGTCGGTTTTCCGGTCGCAGGCAACACGCAGGCTCTTGAGGAGTCAGCGTCGTCTGTCAAGCATTTTGCAATTTTCAAAACAGCATGTTGCCTGAGAACCGCATGATGAATTCTCTTTTGAATAACCGACTGGGGGGAAGGGGTCCTTAATCTCTCTGTCAGCGTCGAAAAGGTGGCCAAACAAATGCAGCTGAGGGACAGCAGCTGAGGGAGAACTAGGAGAAGCCACACAAGCTGCATGCGCAGCCAAGGGGGAGTGGGCCATGGCGAGGAGGATAGTTGGCTGCGCAGGCATGAGACACAGGCCAGACAAGCGACGAGACAAGACCCAACAAGCAGAAGCCACACCGATGGAAGCAGAGCGAGGGCGCAGTAGATGACGATCCCAGGACGCGCGACCACTAAAGCCGAAAAGCCAAGCGGAAACCTATGTGGGCACACCGTGACGGCAGACACAAGGACAAGATAAGGTCCGCTAGTTGGCACGCTACTTCCAGAATAGAGTCTAAGTTTGGCAGCCAGACAGCGTAAAAGGGACGCCAGCTAAACGCAGCAAGATGATGAAAGCAAGGGCTAGATGAACGTCTTCTGACACCATGGTTTGGGCACAAGGACCTACAGCAAAACAAGACAGCTCAGCACACACTAACAATGTCCACACACTCCACAAAAAACAGGAAATGTTGAAGTTCTTGTTCAAGCGAACTCGAAGAAGTGACGCAATCATTCCCCCCTCCCCACCCACCAAAAAGCCCCAAAAAATGGAGTTCGTCCCACGGGCAGCTGTGGGAGGTGGTCCAACTACTGGGCAAGTAGCCAAGTACGGCAAGCGTGTTTGGTGTGTTGTTGTATCAACCATGGCAGGCAAGGTCTTGGCGGTGTTGTTCCTTTTCAAGAGCCAACTTCCACATTTGAAGCAAAAGTCAACAACGCGTGGTGGGTATGTTTCTGTTTTATCACACAAAAAGCTATTCAGCACCCAGTCAGGGAAGCCGCGGGTGGCGCTCACATGATTCTAAGCGGCGAAGGGTGTAACGGCTGTCCGTGCACTTAAAGAGTCTCGATTGACGTTGCCCTAGGGAGGTACCCCTTGAAGCCCTCACGATCCTCCAACAATTCCAAGGGAACTCTTTCAACTCTCGGTTGGGAAAAATTGTCCAAAGTCACGGAAGGCGCCTTTGCTGCCTTTGTTTGAGGTGCTCAAAACCAAATCCAAAATTATTGTGCCTGGTGCTTGTGCTCTCTCTCTCTCGCACTGTGTCTCTCTCTCTCTCTTTTTGTGGTGTCCGTCCGCGGATGGCAGACTAGATGATATAGAGATCCCCTCCTATATTGAACAACCCACCCCGATGTCAAACAATTACCCTCTATACCTCCGACCTCTACAGCTACAACTAGGACACACACACAGACACACGTGCGCATGCCTCGATCTTTGGATGAATCTGAAGACAGGTTAACCCATTTGCAGGCAACCCCTTTTGGCTTTGCAATGACACATCTCGTGGCAACCGGAAAGATGTCAGCTTTCAGTCAACTTCAAGCAAGTTCTGCGAAACCTGGTTGGTGGTTGCAGAATCCGCCAACAAAGGGTCCGACCCATTCAAATATGATACACAGCACCCCTCCCACCAATGACTGCTTTTGTCCATGTCCAAAGCCCCAAGTCCAACCAGCCGTCCTTGGAGGGTGCCGTTTCAGGCGCGGTGGATCTTTGGTCTCCGGGAAGGCCCGTTCCGGGGTTCCCTTCGAAGGGTCTCACGGATTTCCCTTGAAAGAGTTTCAGGGTCTCAGTCTCAACGCTTTCCCTTACGCTTCCCGCGTCCGCTAGTGCCACATGGTGGTTTTGGACCTTTTGAAAACTGGCAGTCTGCGCACAAACTAGCAAACAGTGCTTAACTTTTTGCAGGGGTTCACAGACCAGACCGGGTTTCCGGTTTTCAGAAGCCCCCAATCAATGCCAACCGCCCGCTGGCCGTGTGTTTAGAGGGTTGCGACCTACCTCCTGCAGCGGGGACAATTGTAAGCCAAGCGCATCCACTTTCCAAGAAAGTGGTTCCACCATCATGTAAAACCCAGAGGCAAGGAACTCTGGTTACTTCAGAGGGCTTTGTGGGATCTTGGTGCTTTCGACGTTGGGTTGGTTCAGGAATTGCTGCCATTTACTTTTCAAAGCCCTTGAGTGAGCAGACCCAATTGGAATTGGAGGTGTGGGGAGGTCCGCATGAATAAAGGCAGCTTGAGGCTCTAGTCAGTCACTGTATATTTTGGGCGCGGTCAGTGCAAAACGTCTCTCTTGGGATGAGTACCTTTGTGGTGCAAGGGTCACCAAAACACGAGTTTTCTGCGTGTTTTACCGACCTCGCACGAACTCACCCCAAATGGTTGTTTATGTAGGGAATTCTCCCAACCACCTTATTTCAGGTGGGTGAAATATTATAATTCACCCAGAGTTTTGCGCCCTTCAGAAAAAGTATGGAATGCCGTTCGCTCCAGTGGTTGGCCAACCTGCATGTGACATTTCTTTGCATCCCAAGACGTGCCCCGTGTTCCTTCGTGCACGATATTCCATGCCTCCCCCCGAATCCCACGTACGGGGCAAGACTTGAGCAACCGATAGGTTATTATGACCTCTAAGAACCAGCGGCCAGGAAGGTGTTTTCCAAGCCGTTTCAACGCAGCTAAGCGGTTGCTTGGTGATTATTTTCGTGTAGTTGTTTCAAAGCGACAATTCTCCGACATTGCGAGTTTTATCCGCAAGGATGCATTTCACTTGCCGAACGCTTGGCTTTTCCCATAAGCAGTTGTTAAATGAACGCGAATCGGGCATGCGTTCAGAAACAAGTGTTGAAAGCTATAATTCACGTTGTGTGTTTCTTATTCGCTCTGCGCAAGGACATCTCGCGACGTAGTGGTAGTGGTGCTTTTGGGGTTCGCCAATTTTGGCGGGTTGAGGGTACTCAGCCAATCTCAGCCTGCTCATCGCACTTCGTTCAAACCAGTGGCTACAAGGGTAGACTAGTGCAAAGTAGTGGAAACGGTGGGCGTGACACAGCACCTGTCACCTGGTTGTTTCCTCGGTTCCACTAGACAAGTTGTTTTTTGATTCTTCTTTTTTTTGACATCTCCGCAAATGAACGACGAAACACCAGCCCAGGCTGCGATGTGCCGCACGCTGAGACCCTCCAATGGGATCTGCATTGGACAGCTGCTAATTTTTCGCAGACCAGTTTAGTCAGTACCGGGTTCTTCAATTTAAGAACACAAAAACGTCTAAAATAAAGATCGTTGACGCAAATGCCGTGGGTCCCTCCCTGAGCTCAACGTTGAAGGCAGAGAGGTGCTCAATGAGGCTCGGCCTTCAGGAAAACCAGCCATGTGTTGGTTCCCTTGCAAGCTGTCAGCTTCAACATTGACTTTGGGGGCGGGCTGAGGACTCCTATCAATTGTCCACTGGAATGATGGCTCTTTTTTTTAGTTTTTTTTCCTCAAGGAAGAACGAGGGAATTTCCTTCTGAATCTACCAGGCCTTCGTGTTGCTTTTTTTTCCATGCAACACAACAGGCAGCACGACCAATCATACTTTCGTGCGGGTGACTGAACGTGTTCATTTTCCCACCTTTTCGGAAGCAGCCAACCACTGGTTTTCCATCGAGCATGGTCGTGTTTCATGCTGTGTTGCATGTGTGTTGCGTTCGTTTTGCATATCGCTTGCTGGCAACTTGCAGTCCAAGCCATTGTTTGCTTCCAGAGCCAAATTCAGAACAAGAATCAGAAGCTTTACGTGCCAAGCCCCAAATTCAACGCGCGAGCTTTACGCATCGTGGATTGTCAACACCAGCCACGCAGCTATCGCAAAGGGCAGACACTTGCTCTTCTCCGTGGTGCTTGGTAGCGGACTTCCACCGCACATTGGGTGAACCGACTATGATCTACCTGGAGACTCCAGGTAGTGTCACTCAGCTTTGCCCTGAGACAGAGCCTAGTCTGCCTCGTGGGGACCTGGTCACACCATTCGCAGCCACAGTTATGTGTGACGCGACTTCAGCAACATGGACACATTCAGCCCAAGTGCCGCATATAAACAGTCATGAGCTGGGTGCTGCAAAAACAAAGCAGCACATGTTTTGCTTGATCACCTTCAGCAAGATTTGCCAAGCTAGGAATTCAGCTCCACATGTTGAGGGAAATGCTCAGTGAGATGGTATGACTTTGGAAGCCCAACGTGAGTCCGCATCAACTCCAACAGCGCTTGAGTTTAAGCCGACAGAGAAACCTGTAAATTCATTCATGTTCATGACAAGGCAACGTAGCCAAGATCACTGCTCTCTGTGCGAACAAAATCTATGAGGTTTGCTGCAGGTCTGTTAGAGTACGACCCAAGCCTTGCGCTCGGCAGCCTTACCGTTTCTGTTTGTTGGGTAAGTATCTTCCATGGTGTTCTTCAACAGCCTTCAGACCTCAATATTATGGCAAATTGGCCAAGATGCTTGTTCAATGCCCAGCAATAGTGTGGATGGATGAAATCCTACACCACCCAAGAAACAATGGGGAACCCCATTGCAAATACCAACAAGCATTGGTTCCCCATTTTGTCTTGGGTGGTGCAGGATTTCGTCCACCCACAGTATCATGGAATGTGTCCAACATACATCAGAAAGATGTCGACGTTTGTCCCCGCCGAGGCCCGGCTGGTTTCCCGAGATCTACGTGGACTTTGAGCGCTAGTCCCCGCTGGCAAGCAAAGCGCAGGCAATGCGGATCACCAGATCTGCGAAGGAGGAGGCAAGTGGCTAAGCCCAAGCCCGCGCAGAAATGCACCAACGGTAGTTTCACGTGAGAAAACATATGCGCCCCCTTCCTTCTGCAACTTGTTTTGCGGGGGTTGTCGTTCAAACATGTTCAAACCATTTTATTTCGACTCACATCAGAAATGGCTGTCCTGTGAACGACTACGCATGCTACGCATGGGCAAGGAACGAACTGTGTTTGATGTTATGTTTCGTCCGCGTGAAGTTGCAGGGGCAGTGGTTTCCAATACGGCTGTTCAGCGGCAGCTTCTATTATGTGTTTGACGGGGTCCCAGACACAAGAACGATCCTGACACCAATCAGTCGGATCGCTGTTTGCAGGGTTGTGGGCGAGACTGGCAAAATCAGCGAATCCAGACTTGGCAACCGACTTCTCCGAGTCTGCCAGCTTCCAGAGTCGGACTTCCTCCTCCAAATCCAAGCCGCCAGGATGCAACTTTTGGAGGGCACCAAACACTTGGTTTTTCTCTAGGGATTTGGAGGAGATTTGGATATTCTAATAATTCCCTAGTTTGTCCGCGTGGAGCTGGGTATTTTACCTGGCTCCTTGCCCGGCATCTCAAAGATCGGAGCTTTTGCCGCTGGATTGAACCCACATGGACCGGCAGTATGAAGGGTGGGTTTCTCTTGCAGCAACGCACAAGGAGCTGCAAAAGCACTGCAGATCACCAAGCACTCTACGATCAGTGACTCTACCCGCGCCGCTTGAATCCGAAACACACATATGTGACGAGTGAATAGGCCTGCTTGTGTTCCACGTTTGTCTTACGCGATGACGGCATGTCCAGCCTTATGTTGCCACTCGGCCCTCCATGCCAAAAACAGCAACGCTGGAAAGTTGAATCGCAGCCAAAATAGGGGACCCTGAAAGGTGGCGGTTTCCTTTTTCTTCCCTGGGAGTCGTGTTGGAAAAAATGTCCACGGAAGCCGCGGAGTTGCCATGATGTTTCCTGCAAAGGAACCATCAAGAGTATGGATGATGGACGGTTCATTTTGTCCAGACCCTCAATTCACCGCACATGGATCTTCATATTTCGCGGTGGGCTTACCTGGGCATACAACAAGCCCACCATATCGATCCTTTAGGGATTCCTTTCAGATATTGCTCTTTTGTTAAGCTGCAATCAGTGGCAGATTCCAGCAAGCAAGTCTGTGAAGTGGAGCAAAAGCTGCCAGAAACGGAATTGCTCCTGGACCTAGATGCCCACGGACCGCACAGATATTTCTGGCGAGGCCCAACCCGCAAGAGGTCCCACGGGGACCTGTTTGACGGGGACCTGAACACACATCTTGTTGGGCGAGGCCCAACTCGTAATACAAAGTGTGCTTCTTCGGCAAAGGGAATGTTGGATGGTATCATTCATGCAGGACTGATTACTACTCAAGGACGGCTACTTCTCACTGATGTTTTTTTTTTGGGGGGGGGCCTGACTGAACGATGTGAGCATCTTCCCTAAAGCGCCTCTCAGACAGGCTTGCCCGAGCCTTGCATTTGATGATTCGGAAGTATGAGCAATTTGCTCTTGTGTTCGAGCAAGCGAACTGGTCTCAGCCCAGATATGCCAGCGGTTTTGCAGCGAACGGCTCACTGGGCAAGTGTGGCCTACAGAGAAAATATGAGAACGTCGCATAGCGCACGAGTGTTCAACTTCAGATGCACTGCACGCTCCGGAATCTTGGGGAATCAACACTCAATCTTAGATGTTGCTTGGACTTCCCTATTGCATTCAGTCCAGTTTTGAGGCCCTGTTTGGTTTGATCTAAGCAAAGCTGTTTTGACCTGTGGGGCTTGGTTGAACCATATGTGGTTCCCTGTGACAGCACAATGCGTTTGGAGCCACGTACATGGACGGTACTTTAAACAGAACACACCCTGTAGAGCTGTTAAAGAGAGAGTTTATGGAGCCCTGCCATAAAAGTAGTAGTATCCTTCGAGCAACGGAGGGTACTCTCAAAGCTGCTTCTATTGTCTACAGGGTTCTTAATTGCTGGGAGCTTCCAGCCATGGTAGCCCGAGACTCTGGGGGACTCGTAGGTGACACTGGCCACCGTTGAGAATCCTCGACATGGCAACCGTTGAGGAGCCTCAAGGCTCAGAGCATGAAAACAATGCGCGCCGTTGTCAATCGGACATTGGTAGCGGGGCTTCGGCTCTGAGGATTCAGCGCCTTTGAGTGCGCGTGTAGCCCAGAGCGGGCGCCAAGCCACGGACGAGGCCGGGTCCGCGCAGCGGAAAGGCGGAGTGGCGCGCTGCAGGGGTGATCAGAATCGGCTGGAGGAGGGTCCGCGCCAGGATGCTCCGCGAGAAGCACGTGAGAAAGGAGGAGCAGGATAAGCAAGGACTGTCAACAAGGGTCGGCGGCCGGAAAATGGACCCCAACGACCCGCGGCGCACTCAGGAGGCCAGGAATCTTCCACGATGGCTCACAGACGCACGGCGTCATGGCCCGGCAGCCCAAGGAGCCGATGGCTCATTGCATGTTTCAGAGAAGGGGGTGGTACCGAAGTCTGGTGGACTGCTCAGCTCATCAGATCGCGATGGAGAAGAGCGCTGATGAGCTTATAACTGAGTCCCCGCATGGGCAAGAAGGTCGACCTAACAAGATGCTGGCAATTCAGCAGCAAGTTCCAGGGCAGTGCAACGAGCAAGCTCGGGCTCTACAGTAACAACTACAGCACGCAAGCGCCCCAGCACCACCTCCTGGGACGAGCGCCTTCTACTACAGAAGACGTGTAAGGACTGTGGAGTCGCGCTCAAGGGCCCAAGAAGGACACATCGGCGAAGAAGGGCCTGAGAGAGGGACTACTTCAAGCGCACCAGAGGTGGAGATCGGAGAGCATCCAACGGGTTCCAATGGAAGAAGGCCTGCCTCAACTGCCGCAACCATGAGAGCGGGCACTATGAAACGCGTGAAGAGAAGAGCGCGACAACTACACCCACAACAACCTCGAGATCGTCTGCTACCAGAACAGGAGTGGAGTGCCACTACTCAGAGATATTTTTCTGGAGATCAAGGACATCGTTGGCACGGCCCCAAGACGCATGCGGGTCAGATGAATGTGGATGATGCAATGAGCTCGCAGCAGCTGCTGGACATGCTGGAAGTGGTCACGACTGCATGAGCATCCGGAAGGACAATGGCAAGGACCGCGGCAACATGCGTCAACCCAATATACTAGATTAAACTAAAAACGCCGAATCTCGCAGTTGCAGAAATAGATCTAAATCCGCGTAAACCGAAAAACAGTCTAAAACGTAGCCCTGACAGGAATCTTGTAGTTTAAAAAGTTACCGAAAAGACAGAAACCAATCTACCGAACCGACAGGTTTTTGAAGTAGAACGGAGACGTCGAAAGATGTGACTTAAAGAATAGGTTAGACCGAACTCATAGAGATAGATCAACGCAAAGTGCGGCAATTCTGCGGGCAAACTACGAGGAAAGTTCGGCGCTTCGCTTTCAAGTGACGCGTAGAAACATATTAAATGACAAGCAAAGGCGGGCGCACCGAAAGGTTGCCTTTTGAACCACCAGCAAGAGTAGGAACACTTCTAAGAAAACCCGGGGAAATTGCGGGTTCGGCTTGTCTAAAACTGCGGCTTTATCGAGCTGAGCCGCCAGCAGCTTTCAAGCAATTTCGAGGAAACTTTGGCTGTTCAGGTTGGCCTCGAAACAGGGTTAGCCTGATAGTCAGAATTTATTTGGCTTTCGTAGTCTACTTCCATGGCAAGAAACTACCGAAAAAACAACCGACTAGACAGAACACTATCTAACTAATGGCCAAAAGTATTGCCTGTAGACAATCACAAAATAGACAAAACCGCAAAGTTGTCAAATAGGCAGTTTTCTGACTAATCCGCATAATATGCTTCCAACTAGTGATGCCCAGTTCGGAGACTCAGTTTGTGGGTGAGTTTCCAGGGAGCGTTTGCTTGGGTTGAAGCACCATGGGGGTCACTTCCGCATTTTGGTTTTCCTGGCAACCTGACTTGACCTTCGAGGCCACTTCATCAACACCGAGTTGTTCGCCAGTTTTGCGGGGCTTGGGTTTACTGTTGCCTGGTTTGAAGCCGCCCGCCGCCTGCTTTGCTCTTTCTTGTCCTCCAAGTCCACACTGTCAAAATGTTGGAACGTGTTTTTGCAGTTGGTTGAGGGCTGTCTTTAGTTCAGTGAGGTTCCCAACTTGGAAATCGTTTGTTTTTGGGCTCGGATGCAGGCATCGGGGTTGTTTGGTGAAATAGGTGCCTAGCTGTTCCTCCAACAGCCTTAGCTTCCCCCGGCGTGCAACCGCTTCAAGCGGATGGACTCAACGCTGCCGCGCAAGCCGCTGCAAGCGGCACGCGCGAGGCAGGAGCGAAGGGAAGGGCCTGCCATCATGTACTGTCCCAGTGTTTCCAGGTAGCATTCTTGGGAATATATGTTGTTCGAATTCACATCCACCTTTCGCCAGTCCTTCCCCTTTTTTTGAAGAAGTTTGCGACCTCGCCAGCAGGCATGGAGCCCTCAGCAAGAGGCGCGCAGAGCAAGGGCAGCGGGGATCATGGAGGATCCACCAATCATTGGGTGTGAAGAAGTCATTGGGAAGGGCGTTCAGTTGTGCCACAGAAAGGAGTTGGCCATGGCCAGAGCCTTGTAAACCACCGCAGACATGGACAACCGTCTGTTTCCCTTTTGAAAAGGGCCGGGTTCTCACCTGATAACATGTGTGCGCATCTACCAAGCGCGTGTGCATGTTTTGAAATTCCAATCAATCCCCTTACGCAGTACACGCAGGAGTTCAATTGTGATCGGAGGGAGTTGCCAAGTGGCAAAGTGTCTTCTTTCAACATCCAAGACAGCAAGCCTCTTTTCTGTGGCACTGAGCTTTTGATGGCTTGTCACAATGGGCCATGTTTCCGTCCGCAAATTTGACAGTGAGTAGTGTGTTTCAAACAACCCGGTGTGGATTTGCTCAAGCCTTTCAAGGTGGCTTTCTGGTGTCCTCAAAAAACGCCTTGCTCAATCTTCATGGATCTGTTGGCATAGAGTCATAGAGCACGGGAACTGCAGAGTCCTGAGCATTTGGGTCCTAAGAAGAGGGAAAGAGATTGCATGAAGTCCGAACAAGCAACAAGTTTGAGACTGTTTCGCGGCAAGCGATTCATGTTTGGCGCTCCTGTTGCAAAGCCACAAGGGTACAAAGCGGCGCCCTGGACTTGCAAATCCGTTCATGTGGTACTGTATATGGTAGTCAACTGCTTGGATGATTTCACACATGCTGCTTGCAAGAGAGCAGGTGTAGACATAAGGAGTAAAGTACAGTACCATCGAAGGTCGCTTGCTTTCCAGCTGCTGGACCAAGGAGAGAAGGGAATTGCCACCTGCGGCATCCTTAGAAAACTGGCTGTAAGCCTCTGGGAAAAAACTTCCACGCTGTATTTGGCGGCAGAGCCAAATACCATTGTTTTGGTTCATAGGTTTCATAGGTTCAGTGAATTCTATGACCCCCGAAACTTAAAGTTGGGCGCCTCTCACACGCACCACCTTGTCGAGGTTCCCCTCCATCTTCTCGAGGCTCGGATCGAGTTCGCAGTGCAGGACCGATGTTGTTAAATTGAAAGGACTTGTCTTGAATTGGTTGGGTTTGTTTTTGTTTGCCGCTTTAATATGATCGATTGTTTGATGCAGCTGCTTTTGGTTTGCTTAGTCGTTTGGTGGATCGCTTTGCGTACTTGAGGCGGGAGGCTGCTGAGTCTATGTTTAGCCTATATAAACAACTGACACAGTGATTGGATTAAACCAATTCGACATGCCAAAACACTATGTGCTGCCCTTGGGAGGAATATCCTTTGTGGTAGCATAGTCATGGTTGGACTGGAATCAAGCACTTTGGCACCACCAAAGTTGTGTTCCAGAACCATGAGAGAAGCTGATGAAAGCAGGGGGGCACACCCAAACTTAAGCCGCTTTGAGCGGTCAGAAAAGTTCAATCTGGATAGGCTGAGTGTTCTCCACAGGGGTGAAAATACGCGGTTGCTAGAGTACTACCCCAAACGTGACAAATTAACACATAAACTCAAAACTGGCTCCCTAAAGGGAATTTAATTGCCCTACAACCGAGATTGTTTGGGGTTTCATTCTGACTTGGAGGGTGCATAGACCAGTCTGAGTTTGGCATATACGGGTTCCTTGGCAGGCGTTCTGGGTTTTGCTTGGGGCAGCTGTCCGAATCCCTTATGAACCATATTTTGCCATGTATATACAGTCGATTTTGGAGGGCTGCTGATCAAACAAATTGGAGGAGCCTCCCTTGGAGGAGCCTCCCGAATCCTCTTTCGTCAAAGTTGACGGGCTGTCACGAGTTGATTTGATTGTCCTTTCCCAGTTACCCTTGGCCCTGAGGAAAGCCTTGGCAAGTGTTCTTCAAGTTGTCAGGTTCTGTGTCGAAGCCATGGAAAGACTCACTGCATGTTTTCGGAGGCTCCCACTAACGTGGCACCTCACAGAAGATCCTGTTCAAAGAGACATGGTTCAACCAGGGATCTCCAGCCCTTGTCCATGTTGGTGGGGAGGGTAAGCTACATGCAGATCCATTCTGGTAGGCAACCAGGGGACAGCATTGTCCTGTTGGTTTTGAAGAGAATCTATCACTACTGTTTTTTTTTTTTTACAGGGGTCTTAACCAAATGGAAGTTGTGAATGAAGCCTGCGAGTGAAAGCTCCCCAGTTGCTGGTATTGCTAGAGCTTGGCCTGAAGCACTGGGACAGAAGTTTGAGCTTGGACGGTAGCCCTCAGAAGCCTTGTGCCGAAAGAGCAAGCTGCCTGTCAGTGTAAGCCATGTTTTTTTGGAACAATCAATGGAGCTCTTTGTGAGCTTCCCATCTAAAATAAACACCAAGTCCAAAACACATCCCTGGGCGATTCTTGGCCAAGGCCTTTGGCTTTCAGTCGACGCTCGCTTTGTGTTAAACCAGTTTTTCATTTGTTCCTTGCACTCTTGGAAGGTTCCCACAGCCAAAACTGTGTCTTGACCCTAGGCGCAGTTGTTCAGTTGCATCCTTTTCCTCAATGTTGTTTTTGCGGGGGGAGGCCATTTTGGTGGCAAACCAACAGTTTGGGCTTTTTGGCCAATACACTCAGAACGTGAGCATGAGGCTCACTAGACTGGCTGCTCAAAATCAACCCTCAATCCTTATGCCGCCCTTGTGGTGTCCCACTCCGGATTATATAAAGAATTCAATTCAACTCCTGAGTTCATGAACTTTAAACTTTTTTGGGAAGACCGGTTTAGTGGTAAATATAAAGTTTGAACTTTATTTGGGCCATCCACTCAGCAAGTGAGATTCAACTCGGGAAGCTCTGCCTTCGCAGGTCCTCAAAGCGCGCGCCCGCAAACGGCGCGCTCCGGGCAGAGCGCGCGGAGCGCGACCTCCAAGAATGCTGAGGAGTGCGCTTCACCGATCTGGGCAAATCGTGAGCGCAAACCGCTGGTTCTTCCGTTTTTGGAACGGTGTTTTTAAGAACCCAAGTGTGACACCCGGTTTGAGCGATCAATGCCCCCCTGGCCTTTTCGAGTGGTCCAAACAAAAAGCAAACCAAAAACAGAAACAAGTACAGGATCATCGAAACGGGTCACCTTCGTGTCAAGACACCATGAACAAGGTGTCCTGAATTTGGACGGAATAGCTTCCAGATGCTGAATCGGTGTCAGTAGTACTTGTGAAGGCACACAGAGGGCATGGGCATGTGCTCTAGGGACATGACATGCCATGTTCGGCATTTTAGGGGTCTCCTATTCAGGACCCCCCCCCCGCCTCGTGGGATGGTTGTCACATGGACACTCGCTAGGACAACTGCAAAGTAAAAGCTACAGAATGATGTTGAAACAAAAGTGGAGTGGCCTTCAATACCATGGGCCAACATGAAGCTGGTCAAAGCAGCTTGAGGCTAGGGAATATTTGAAGTATGAGGAGGCGTGCATGATGTCGGGTCCATCCCATTGATACAGGCTTTTGTTTGTGTGCATGTTACGGCAGCTGTGTATCAAACAGTGCGCGGTTTGATCCTTAGAAAAGGTGACTTATAGGTGTTTGTTTGATATGTAGAAGCCAACTGATTCTGAGACATACAGGCACATGGTTGTTTGTTCTTGTCAATCTCTCTCTCTCTCTTCCTCCCTGAGCGCAGAGTTGGAGAATATTTCGGCCCCTGGTTGATTTTCCTCAGTATCACTTTCGTTGCAAGTAGCAACTGGATATTCGACTCACCAAAAAGCAGTTCTTTCCTGTCAAGCACTTTGGCTAAGCAGATACTAAACCCTCCAAAGTCAAACGTGTTTCCCCTGGCGGGGTACGGTTATCCAGACTCTTTCCATTATTCCGTTTGTGAGAATAATTTCCAGTTAAAATCGACCACACATAAGACATAGGGATACACATTGGACCTCCCAACCCAAAAAGGTCCTCAGAACCCTTCCAAGACTTCTCTCTGGCAAGATTCTTTCCAGGAGGCTGGAGGGCCTTTGGTTTTCTCCCAAGGGCCGAAAGCTTTGGCCAACGCGCCCGAAAGGTACATCATCTCGACGCAGAAGGCGGCTCATCGGGTTCATCCTGCGAGCGCACCTGGGGGTCCTTGACTTGGGTTGTGGAATTACAGACGCATTTGCAGATGCATCTGATGCGCAGGATTCGCAGGCACATACGAATCGCGCGCATTTCCGCTTGGGAGTCATGTACAGAAAGTTCCCTCTAAGTATGGTCCTCTGAATTAGTTTCAAGTTTACATTCCCGAGACACTCGAATTGAGACATTCGAGAAGAAAGTGGACAAGGCCAAGACTCGAAGTGGGATCGAATTTTGATCTTGTTGGAATCAAAGGTCGAACAGAGCGTCTCCATGTTCATTCCATGTTCCAATTAACGAGTGACTTCGTCAAAGAAACGTCGATGCAGCGAAAATCAGGTCACTCAGAGTCATTCGCAGCCCCCGAACTTTCGGAGGAAACTTGGGGAGGTGTTCAATCAGAACATGAATGCATCCCGAGTCTTGGTGTCGAAGTTGAAGATGCCTTCTGACTTCATGCAAACTATGATTTGCCAGAGCCATAACCATGAAACACCGACCATTTCGAGAACATGCACCTTCCCGGGGATCGACAGAACCACCTCAATTCGAGCAGGTGAATGACCCAGATGAGCTTCCGAAGCTGGACACCAAGATGCAGAGCTTGGAGAAGGAGGGCGGAAACTTCGGGGCTGAATGTTTTGATGGCTGAAGGCCAGGGTTGGGCAAAGAACATAAACAAGGTGACCGATTAGCTTCCTTAGACAGGGGAAACTAACAGGAGTTGTGGTTTTGAGAAGAGTGTTTTATCATGTTTAAGCATATGGTTGGCGCCGAAGAAAAGGACGCCCCCAAGACCTTGCCATTTGGCGTTGGGAACGTGTAGCAGTGTAGCACGCTGGCTGGTTGCAGAACGTCTATGTTTATTTGATGTCCAAGGCCCATGATTCAAGGTGGTTCTACTATCTGGTTTAGTGAATTGGAGTGGAGGCCAATACTCTTGCCAGCAAGCAGTCAAGGAGCTTTAAGTGGATCAACAAACGCCCGCCCGAAGCCCGAAGCCCGAAACCCGAAAGGCATGGCACATTTTCCGGAAGAAACACCTCTGAGGGTTTGGAGTTTGACTCCTGGCCGCGTAGAAGTGGCGGCGGTTTCGATCAGGCCTTTGGTGAATTGTCCCCAGCCCGTCCTTTGGTCGTTCTTCACAACCCAAACGCTCCTGGCTTCGACTTCCAATGGAAGACCCAGACCCTCCATGGGACACCCCAGAGGGGTTTTGGGGTCTCAAAACCTGGCCGTTTGAAGGCCCAAAATCAATCGGGAGCGTCTGGGAAAGAATCATCGCTGAACTCGAAACTCAGATCAACATGCGATGCTCTAGCCTTGGAACGCGGACACCCAATGGAGTTTGTCAACCTATGTTCAGCTGTAGTGCCCTGCAGTGGGAATATTCTTCTCAGAGGGGCCATGTTGAGCTTCACAAGAGGCTTTCTTGTTTTAGTAATGAGGGAACCAAGCTGCCCATGTTCCATAGTTCTTAAGGAAAGACATTCTGCTTGCAGTACCCGGCCCCGATCCCCTGCCCCTCTCCCGGTCGTTGGGTCCCCTTTCGAAAACAGGCCCTTGCATTCAGAGTGCGGAGGTTTTCAGCGGAAAGCACCTGGCAAGTGTGCTGGAAACCACAGCCAGGGTCCAAGTCGACCTTTCATTTCCAGCTCCCTTTGGGGAGTTGTTTGCTCTTCCAAACTCAAAGAAGGCCCTCACCTTAGTCTGAACTGTTTTCACCACTGCAGGCCCCACGGCAGGCCTCCGACTGAGGGAAGCCCCCCCCTTAGTTTCGTTTTGGCTTCCCTGCGAAACGGGGCAAACAGTAATTTCAACGTCCAATCGTTCCACTCGTGTTGGCTGTCCATGTCACCTGCTAGGACGGACAGACCGTGAAGATGCCGTCACAGACCAACGTGTGTGCCTTGCAGCTCTGGGAAGTCTACTTGGTGCAGCCGGCATGCTTACCGCAGCCTCACATTGCCGTTTTTCAGGGAGGCCAATCATTTTACATGATCATTCTATTGGGGGTGATGTGTCAAGGATAATGAGAGCGAGGTTATGCGTGGCAACCAAGCTTTCGGAAAGGGGTCAGCAACCGGTCTTCCCAACGAAGGCGAGGTTTTTGTTGGCTGAGATTCGTGCACTAGAATGTCCTTGACCCGAGCCCGTTCCGGTACCGGAAAGTTGCTTCGCACTTGCAGCGCCAGATCCTGCAAATGAGCCGGAGGGACTGGAGCAGTTTGGGAGCGTGACCAGCCTCTATGGCGATGTTTTGTTCCGCGGAAAGCCGGTCGAAATTGGCTGGAAAACACAAAACAACACATTGCAGATGATGTCCAACACATGTTCCCTTCAACCCATGTACTAGAAGATGGGCCGTGTACGATGACAGCTTTTCGATGGGGCTAGGCAAGTTGTCAAGCGGTCACGAAACCACCTGGATGTTTCCCATTTTCCCGTGGTGCTCTGGCCTCACGCCGGAGCGGGGCGTGGCCACAGATCCGGCTTTACTGCTGGTTGGTAATAAGTGTTTGTTATTTGTTGAGCCACACAAAAAGGGTCAAAACAGTTGAACCTTTCTACCATGCTTCACAAATCCTCTTGATTTGTTTCATGACCCCAAACGGGTGTGCCTTTTTGCCTTTGTGTTGAGGGTACTCTTCAAGGTTGGTTTGAGGGAAACGGGAAACGGCCGCCCATTTCGGTGTTCCAAACACGTCAATTTCGACACGTGTGGCTTGTGCACTTGGGCACAGCTCTGACGTGAAAGTGGCATAGGCACAGCTCTGTCCATTGCAAAGCGGGAGGTATGAACGAGGGCGATGTTTAAAGGAGCCTTGAGGGAAGCCTTGGGGATGACTTTCAAACATGTTGTCCAGTTCTGGATTCGACGTGCTCAAAGGGCAGAACTACCTTCGGGGCCCGTAGCAGAGATTATCAAGGTCCTGCGAGGTTTGTTTAGAGGGCAATCCGCAAAAAGGGTCCCACGCCAAACACAGGAAGCCTGCAGATTCGCATCAATGACTTTTCCCAGACAAGTAGGTTTGGCCATTTTGTTAATTCCAGGTTGCAAGTTGTAACCTCCGACGATTTTCACAAAACTCGCCACTGTCACTGAGTCATCGATATGTCTGTATCTGTATGCAGCTGTAGAGATGTTGTTCCAATCCTCGACCGCAAGTGGAATGGGGGCCCTGAAAACATTCCACAGCAAATTCCACGGGGCACCGCGTGTGCACGTGTAAAGCCGGTGATCTTCGGGTGGCTGGACCCCTGTCACCCGACATCTTCCTGGAGCTTAATGGTCCTAAATCGTTGGGAACATGGAAGGCCCCCTTTTGACATGTCCTGATTGACAAGCAAGTAACATGTGCAGCTACGTACTTAAACTGTAGGAATCCGTTCTACTAGTTTCTGCATTGGGGTCAACCCACCCCAAATGCAACACTTCAAAAGGTCAGCTGGCTTATTTTCCCAAAGGTGAGGCACCAATGCAACTGCTTCAAGCACGGTTGTTGTTGGGAAACATTCTGCTTATTTTTGCTCATTGTGGTTTAGTGGGAAATCCCAATCAACTGCTAACACGTAAATGTTTGCTCCCCTTCCAACGTCAACCAAGCTGGTGCCATACGGGAAGGAGAAATGGAACGCCCCCGAAATAAAGAATCCAAAAGATGGTTTCCTTAAAGGGAATCCCCTTCCGGTTCATTCCCAACACCCGGAAGGGCCTCGGCATGCAACGTCCCAGATACACCAAAATAAGCAGGTTTATCTGGAAATAGGCCAGGCTGATTCCCTAATAGAAAACCCTTCGACCAACTGCTTCGAGCGCCTCGCTTCATTTTCCTTGGCAAGCAAAACACGAAGCTTCGCCAGGCCGTGGCCATTCTATGCATCCAGCCGCACTCTGCCCGGCCACCGAATCCACGGTGCCCGTTCGGTGGATTCCCCAATGGACAAGCCCCCAAAGGGGCTCCCCTTTTGCGGATTTTTTGTTTGGCAGTTTTGCCACTTGCGAGTAAGCGACGCGTGGTAGTTGGAGCTTTTGGGCCCTGAAGCATGGTAAATATGCGGTGATTGGTGACTGGCTGCTCCAGAGCCTGCACATATGCCACCCTCTGAGAGCTGACATGCCTGTTGGAGCTTTCAGCGTATGTTTGTTTGTTGTGTTTGCGCAGGTGGTGGAGCTCTTGGGCACTACGACATGATATTCCATGTTCTTTGGCTTATTGTGTGTTGCCAACGCCTGATACAAATGCTGCTTGTTGAGGCTGTGACATTTGCAGCATGTTCATTTCATTCATTTTATCCAAAACGGTTTCCGCTTTCGAGTGTAGAGTCTATGCTCCCAAACCTAAAGCATGCTAAACACCGTTGTTTTCTTCTTTTTTACAGTGTGTCTGATGTGCATAACATCACTTGGTCAGCGCTCAGCACAGAAACAATGAAGCCTGAGTGTGGACGCTTGGGAGGATGACCACATCGGACCACATGATACGTTTATCTACTATATACATATTTTAATATATGAATACATATATATATATACATATATATGCATACATTTATATTTATATTGCTGTGTCCCCATGTGCAAAGACACATGTACACATACAGCTTAGTTCCGGGTCTTTTGTCACCCACTTATGTACTTGTCAAGCAGGCCGCGCTAGGGATGACGGGTTCGGATTGATCGCTGCGCAGGATGCTTATATCCAGACATGTCGATCAATGACGGTTGTCATGCCCTCCTCATTCGGCTTCAAATTCTCTACCCCATCTGGCTGCTGTATGGTGTGTTGCCAAAGCAGGGCTATGATTTCTCCGGTAATCATGGACATAGCGCCATGGAGTCTGAGCTATTTGCTGTGCGCACTGAGGACGTGCTGCACTTCCACATCAAAGCGTCGCGAGCTGAGCTGCCGCTGTTCCGAGTCGTTGAACGTCGAAAGGATTTAGCAGCTCTACAAGCTGAGATCAGGGCTCAAGATTCAGAACGTGGAACAATCGATTGCTTTTGGTGAGCTTTGAGTTGATGAATGAGAGTCGAACTCATTCTGGCGCCACAGTCCGGTGCTGAATTTATGGTCATGTCGGTATGTATGATTTGTATTGGTTGTTTCCATTGCCAAACCTTGCCGTGAAGTTGCGATTTGCTATTAGTTGTTAATTGCTCTGAAACACGCTCAGTGTACGTGTCGGATGCGGCTGCGCCCTTGTGAGTTGCCTCTGAACCGTGACCGGCTGATCCCTCGGATGTGGCCACGCCGCTGTAAGTGAGCGAGTGTGTGAGTGTTGACAGTGACAGGGACAGTGACAGTGACAGTGATAGTGATGGTGACAGTGAGAGTGAGTGAGTGAGCGAGGGAGTGAGTGAGTGAGTGAGCGAGCGAGGGAGGGAGGGAGTCAGTGAGTGAGTGAGGGGGAGTGGGTGGCCGAGTTAGTTGAGACCTAGCCAGGGTGCGTGAGAGTGGTACACGCATCACCAAGAAATGGGGGGTAGAACTGTTGCTTTGCAAGATGTTGCCCTGTTGTGACAACACACAACAGTATCACCCAACATTGCTGCTGGGAAGTGTCTTGAAAAAGGGTCTGGCGATCGGAATTGGATTGCGGTCCCTGTTTGGTTTGTTGCAGGATGCTCTTTGTGCGAAGCCACTTTTAAAGTGCCGTTTGTGTATCTCACTTCCCAATTTGTTGATCGCATTTCTCTGGTTTTTGGGACCACTAAAAGCGTGGCAGCCAAGAAGTCATTGGGAATTTGCTGGACCACTCCACTCCGAGCCGCGAGTGCTCCGTGGACTCCGAGCCGCGCGGCTTTCAGCGGCTGAGCCGCGGCTCATTCGCGGCGTCCGAGGCTCTGTGAGCACGACGAGGACACGCAGCTGCCTGGAGCCCAGACGGCAGAGACGCCTTCCAAGTCCAAAGAGGTCTGGGAGGCTTCCTTCAAAGAGGCAAAGAGTTTGGGATACAGTACCCGGAGTGATGCACTAGCTGGGCTGAAATCTGATTTGTTGGTTCTAATGCTGATATAACAACAGGTTAAGAATGCTTTGCCTGCGCAAAAGGCCTCTTGCAAAGCTCGGTGTTCGACTTCATGGCAACCTGAAAAATGAGCCCCCCTCAGCAGGAGCATCCCGTATTTATGAGACATGTGCTTGCTTTCTCCTTCCATTTGTTTTTGGTTGGTAGCCGTTGTCACAAATCGACCCACCTCTGGATGCTGTCCAAGCATTCTTAGGGGTGATCTAGTTTGGGAATCACAAGAAATACAAAGGCCAAATGTAAATTGGCCAGAAAAACCTTGTATTTTCGATCCTGATGGGTCCTCTAGTCCCAGTTGTTGCTCGTGGCAAGTGAGAGTCACTTCGAGCATCATGCTACCTTTGGCCCTTTTTTGCTGCCCAGAAAGCAACTAATCGGTCCAGCTATGGTGTGAAAGTGGCGCTGACATTTATATATATATATATATATATATACATATATGCTACCCCCCCCCCCAGGTACCCAGGTTTGGGCTTGGTTCAGATGTGCTTTGACCGCGGAAGCAGGCAGGAAGAACAGCTCAGATTTGCACACTGGGAGACCAGAGGAAGGAGGTTTGCCTCATTGAAGCAAGACGCCTTGGACGTGACCCATGCCCTTTTTCAATGGCTCTTCCACACAAAATTCAATTCACATATCTTCCCACGCAAACCATGCCTTCTTTCAAAGGCTCTTCCACAGAGATAACTCACATATCTTCCCACGCAAACCATGCCTTGTTTCAAAGACTCTTCCACAGAAAATTCACACATCCTCTCACCCAACACATGTCTTTTTACATGTCTTCTTTCAATGAAACAAAGGCAGCATATGTGAAAGAGTTGCCAAGGAAAGTGAACCCTGTGTAGAGTAAAACCAGGCTATGGTTGGGACAGTTTGTGTTACATAAATGGTGGTTTTACATGATATTTACTGTCTTTTGCTGTACATTTATGAATCACTGTAACCCTGACTCTTCCACAAAGACCCACACATCATCTCACACAAAACATGTCTTTTTCAGTAACTCTTCTCTACAGAAAATTCACATATACTTTTCACAAAGGTTCACATATCCTCTCACCAAAACATGCCATTTTTCAAAAGCTCTTCCACAGAAAACTCACATATCTTCCAACACAAACCATGCCTTCTTTCAAAGACCCTTCCACAGAATATTCACATATCATCTCACACAAAGCATGTCTTTTCAATAACTCTTCTCTACAGACAATTCATTCATCCTCTCACCCAAAACATGTCTTTTTGCATGCCTTCTTTCACAAGGATTCACATATCCTCTCACCAAACCCATGCCCTTTTCAATGGCTCTTCCACACAACATTCAATTCACATATCTTCCCACACAAACCATGCCTTCTTTCAAAGGCTCTTCCACAGAGATAACTCACATATCTTTCCACGCAAACCATGCCTTGTTTCAAAGACTCTTCCACAGAAAATTCACACATCCTCTCACCCAACACATGTCTTTTTACATGTCTTCTTTCAATGAAACAAAGGCAGCATATGTGAAAGAGTTGCCAAGGAAAGTGAACCCTGTGTAGAGTAAAACCAGGCTATGGTTGGGACAGTTTGTGTTACATAAATGGTGGTTTTACATGATATTTACTGTCTTTTGCTGTACATTTATGAATCACTGTAACCCTGACTCTTCCACAAAGACCCACACATCATCTCACACAAAACATGTCTTTTTCAATAGCTCTTCTCTACAGAAAATTCACATATCCTCTCACCCAGAACATGCCTTCTTTCACAAAGGTTCACATATCCTCTCATGCTCCGCAAATTTTGCGCAACATTTGGAATTTGTTGCGCAACACTTCCCTGGACCAAAAAACAAAAACAAGAAAACAAAAACCCAAAGAATCCTAGCCATGGTGGGGGCTAGGATTGTTTTGTTGCTTTTTTTTTGGGGGGGGGGGGCTTTTTGGTGTTTTGTTTTTTGTTGGTTCCACAAAATGGCCTTGCAGAGAATGCATGAGTTCAATCAAAATACACTGTAAATATCAATGGTTTTGATACATGATGCAACAACACCTGGGTACTGGGCGGGGGTACCATATATATATATATACCTCTGCTCTCCTCTTTGGAAGTTTGCGCGACAGTCGTGCCTGACAGGTGTAAACTCTCATGCATCGAGTACTTGCGCGGCAATCTTGCATTCCATTTGTACAAGGAAAAGGAGCTTTCTCTTCCATTATCAGGATCCTTCTTTGAGCCTCATTTTTTCAGGTTGGAGCTATACTAGCTTGCTCAGATTACGCTGCTCTTTGCAATGAGCGTGAACCTTCCTTTAGTAAACAACCAGAGATTTCGTGGCGCTTTGCCATGAAATAGCAAGCGCCGGCCCGAAACATATCCTTACTTCAGCCTTCGGAGTCGTCAAGTCGATGGCATAATCCTCTTTCTGTCGGTGCCAGGGGCACGATGGAATCCAAATGCGGGGGCGCCTGTAGTTGACCACAGACCAAACATGCCACTTTTCATGGTTTTTCATTGGCATAGGCATGCATACTCATCATGGGATTTGGGACATGGCAAAAGTGCGCCAACTGGAGACACCAGAGCAGTGGTCAACACTTGACACGTGGCACACACACACACACTACAATGCGAGAAGTACACAGGGGTACTCGCCAACAAATCATGAATAACTGTGTGGCGGTATTGACATTTGATCGTTCTTGTTGAACCTGTTGATAACATTGTTTGCCTCAAAACGGGATCACCAAACAATTCCTCAACTCAGCAAACAAAAACCGGCAACGCCAACTTGGACAAGGGATATTCTTGGCCGGCGGGAAGGTCAATTTCGGTTAAGCTCCTTCAAAAAAGGCCACTGACCGCTGGGGACTTGCTCAAAAGTTGTTCATAAGCTGTGTGTCCCATGGGGCCAAACGAACTGGTTGAACCTTGGCTTCCCGAAGGCCAAGAGGCACCTGGAGACATGCGACGCTCGTTGCTCAAATGTTGGGCTTTGCTCGCCAGGTGCGAAGCCGTGTTGCGGGAGCACTTGACCTGCTACAACGTATTGGACGTGACACAGGCACTTTGGCTCGGAGAATTTGGGTGTGTCCCAAAGTTTCTGGCAGGGCTGGGAATTTCAAGTCAGCCCGAAATGAAGCCATCGGTTTGTAGAGGGTTCGATGCGGTTACAAACATCAGAAAGGAGTATTGTCGGCAGCCAAGAATCCGCCTGGGTAGCTCGAATCCTTGCTTGACGGCCAGTTTGCTCAGATGGCTGCTCTATGCCTGAGCCGGCTTGCCCCTATTTGTCCACATCGAATCGACCAGAGCTCTGCGGGGCAAGTCAGAGGGCATGTTGCAGGCCACTTGCACAGAGCATCCAGGAACTCATCACCGTCACATGTTGTGTTGTGGTTAAAGCGGCTGGGAAGCGTCACTTCTTGCGAAGCTTCAGGAGACGTCCTTTGTGAGCTTTTTCGAGGAGTACATGCGCCGGAAGTTTCAGCTTTCGCTGCTCGACTGGATTCTATGCTGCTTTCGCCGCGAGCTTGAGCTGGTCCTTCCGTTCTGCTAGATCCACAGTTATCCATACCACTCCGCAAGGACTCCCTACATTTCTTAAACATCACCCCTCTGAAAGACAACTCACTTTAAACCATGCCCTTGCAGGGGGACGCTTAAGAAAAAGGTAATGCTTAAAAGGCATCACCCTCACTTTAAGCGGGCCTAAAAGGTGATGCTTAAATCCACCAAACCCTGCCCTTGCAGGGGGTGTCCAGAGAGCGAAGGCCGGATAGAGCTCTCTTTGTGAATCCTGGAAACTGGTATCCTCTCTTTAAACTGAAGATTTCGGGTGTCCCACTCCTTGTGTTTGGTGGGTGTAGCCTTCGAAACACGGGGTGGCCTTGTTTTCCCATGGAGCTTGGGAAGCTAAGCACTGCCAAACAGGAACTTTTGGTGTGGCTGGCCTCCCATGGGCACTGGAGTCGAACGGCTAGGTCTGAACTTGGCAGAAAGTGGATCGATCGCCACGAGAGCTGCCCAATATACCAAAGTTGAGGGAGAGTGCTTGTTTTGAGCTGATGCTGAGGGGAAACCAAAAGGAACATGTGCTCTGAGGGTTCTAGTTTTGAAGCAAACCGCTATGTCGCTTGCTTTGTCTGAGGTTCAGCCTGATCTCTGCTTGATGCGAGCATGTGCTTGTGATTGCGACATGTATGCAACACATAACCGCCAAACGGTCTGTTTGTCAACATGATTGGCCCCCTTTGTGGACCCTCGTGCTCCCAAAAAAGGGCGGCCTCTATCTTGGAACCGCATCTAAATTCAAACTTGCTCTGATGAGATGTGGTTTGCATGTTTGGTGGGAAGACAAACAAGTTCCTGTGCTTTGTTGGCACATCAAGTCTCCCAGTCTGAGAAGTCAGTGTCCTGAGTTGACGTTTCAAGCAGCCCAGCTGACATTTCTGATTCGGAGAGAAAACACATGATCACCGCAGGAGGCACACGTTTTTCCAACACCACAAAGACATATAGCAGCTGCAGCAACGGCAGCAATCGCCACAGCAGCTGCGGCAGCAGAGCCGGCATTATGACGAGCCAAAGAGAAGAGAATTAGAAGGGAATCATGACTTTTTGGGCGGAGTCCCCTTGGAGACACAGGACATAGTTCTGGGCCACGGCGACAGGCATGTTGCTTGCTGGCAAACCGGGCAGGTTCAATCGGGACAACCTCATGCATTACATTACGGACATCATGGATGATTCCTACTCTGGCTACAACGACATCCCCCGGACCTTTCTGTTGGGCCCCTACGTTCAGGCGACGTGCTTTGATCTGGCTGCTGAGGTTTCACACCAGCCCTGCGTTTTGGGGAGCTGTGAGTGTGTGAAGAACCGCCTCCCCCACCCCCCTTTTAGGCAGGGGGCAGGGGGATGCTGCATCCCCTGCAACATCGCATCGTTGCAGGCCTTTCTTCTGCAAGACCGATTTTTCGAGGGTCAGTACGACGAGATGGTAGATGCCATGCGTTGCTCGGCCGAAAGCGCACGGCCGAAAGTTCTTGTTCCGACATGTTCAACCTTGGTGTGTTTGAGTTGCTGTCGAAAAAGAGCATCACTTTCGCATCCAAACAAAGCTGCGTCAATCAAAGTTGTTGCATGCCCTGAAATTTGATATTGCTTGGAGGGTTTACCTTTCGTGAGGGCTAAAGCTCGAATACATTTGAAGAGCAAGTTTCCTGCAGGGGGTTCTTGTATTCGATGAGCGGTGTTTTTTTGGATGGCTTTAAAGATAAACCGAATGGACATCAACCAAAAGTAGGGGTTGCCTAGTTTGAGCAAACCCCGTCTATGCGACAGCTGAGCTCAAAGTGACATCCTTTCTCGCATAAGTTCCGCTTGACTCGCAGTACATGTTTGCTTGCCGTAAGTCGCTTTCAAAGGCCTTCGTCATGTACCCTGGTGGAACGCACCCCTGAGAATGACAAGCAGACACGTGTCACGCAGGTAATTGGACAAACCAGTGCCGTGAGGGAAGCTGTGGCCACCGACAGTTCGACCAAGGCATGTACAACCTTCCGGTGAATGATGTGCTGAAGGATGGGGAGGAGGAGATCGGGGCAGACACCCAGGCTGTGAACTTCGACCAAGCCAGGATGTATGACGCTCGCATGCCAATGCCAGTGTTATCCTTAAGATGGAACTCCCATGTAAACTCACTTCCTGAGTTCATGCACTTTATACTTTTTGGGAAGACCATTTGAGTGGTAAATACAAGTTTTAATTTTTTTCTGGGCTATCCACTCAGGAAGTGGAGCAAACAGAGGGTTCCCAACTACCGATTCTGTCCAACTGATGCTGCGGTTTCTTGCTCTGGTCTAGGTCCTCCAGTAGAGAGGTTAGAACAAGGGTACCCAACTTTTTCAGGACGTCTATGTTAGTAAGGGAACCCTCTCCAAAAAAGGGGGAGAGAAGGGCACTGCTGGGCGACCTAGTTGTGTTCACCAACCACTTTTGCGGGTTCCCAAAAGACGCAGCCTGTGAACCTTGAACACCAACTCCAAATCGGCACCCTCAAAACTAGAGACGCCCAAATACTTTGGTAAGAGAGGAGTTGGCATTCTAGGAAATTTATACAAGCCCCTCCCCAACAAACGCATTCCTGACCATGCGCGGTATACCCTTGCCGAGCTCCGCGACTGCATAGTCATTCCGAGTCCTCTGTTCTGGGGTTGCGCCGTCTCTGCAACACAAGCACCTCCGCCCCCGGCAGAGGCCTTACCCCCGTCTTACCAGGGGCATGTGGTAGGGAATGTTGCAAAAGGTGCAAATCGAAGAGCATTGGCTCGGCGTGTGGCTGAGGTGCGATTGGTGTGGGAGCGATTCCTTTTGTCAGAAGGGAAGTTTTTACAGTGGCCTTACAGTCTGGCGCGGATTCCCTGCGGACACTGCAGCGCCCCAAACACAAAAATGGCTGAGCCATTGTAATGTCCTACATCTTGCCGCTCGACGTCCTACGGTCAAAGAAGCATAGGTCTATTGAGACACTTGTTTGTTTTTGCATTTTTTGCCAGGAAACAGTTCTGATCCAAAACACCAACGACAATCTCATCAAAAGAGATACTGGTACCGGCCCCACCTCCATGTTGACAATTGTCAGCGTCCATACATCCATTCAATGTTCAAGGGAGTCAAAAGCCAAAACTGATTTCAGAGTTTTACGGGAAATAAGAACCACTATTAGTTGGTTCAGACCTCTGGAGCCAAGGACGATCCGAGCTTGATCCTGAAGAAGCACGGGGGCTGGGCCCTGGGCAAGCCTGCACCGCTGCTCACCAAGAAGGCCAAGAGCGTCGTGTGGGCCGCGCGTTCCGTTTTTGGCGACAAAGATACGAAGGTACCCTTTTTTGGGGGGAATTGAATCGGGACTCAACCTTAAACCACCCAATTTTTGGGATTCCCTCGTTTGGCAGCGAAGGTTGTATCAATCTAGAGGGCATCAATTACGGCTATTTTTCTGGTGGATCAATGCGCGGTCAACGTTACTTCCACTCGCCTTAAGCCATGTTGGCTGAGGGCTCATGAGCGGCCTACAAGCACTGTCCCTGTCACTGTAAATTTTGGGTTTGCCATCCGGCAGTGCTTAAAAGGTGCCTGTGTCAGCACATACCCATTGTTTGTATGTTCCTCGCTGCCACGCGTTGTTTGCACACTGATACAAGCGAGCAAGCAAACTGTGGTTTCGTCAGTGTCCTTACTTTCTCTTTTGTTTGTTTCTGCGGACGCCTTTTCATTGCCACTGCTGATGGTGCGTCGGACATTGACCTGCCTCTCCCTTTGTGCTTTCTAGTTTGATACTTGCTGATTGAGCACTCAAGAGACAGAGAGAAAGAGAAAGAGAAAGAGAGAGAGAGATAGACAGACAGACGGAGAGAGAGAGAGAGAGAGAGAGAGACAGAGAGAGAGAGAGAGACAGAGAGAGAGAGAGAGAGAGAGAGAGAGAGAGAGAGAGAGGGAGGGAGGGAGGGAGGGAGGGAGGGAGGGAGGGAGGGAGAGTTGCATGCCAGCCTCACCAGCGTTCCTCCGAGTTTGCGGGTCCGTTCTAAGAACCCTTTGGTCAGAACACCTTCTGAGAAGATTCAAAAACCATCCATTTCTAAGACGAGCAGCAGCTATGCTTTGTTGCATTTTGCTTGGATGTTAGGACTTTAACTGTTTGCCCAACTAATGGTTTTTTTCCGTATTAAACCACTAAAAGTAAAGAAAGCAACGAGGATCTGATAGACTACAGAAAAATCGGGTACCCTTATTCTAACCTCTCAAATCTGGAGGACCCAGCATTTCTAAGACGAGCACCTATCCTTTGTTGCATTTTGCTTGGATGTTAGGACTTTAACTTTTTGCCCAACTAATGGGTTTTCCGTATTAAACCACCAAAAGTTTCAGAAAGCAACGAGGATCTGACTGGGGATCGAGTTGAAATCTGTGAGGACCAGCTCATCATGCGCCTTACCGGATGCACCCTGGATCAGCTTCTGGCCGGGCGCGACGCGGCCCCTGGCTCGCTTACGGTTGCAAGGGGTTGGTGTGCGCAGGAGGAGCGGGATGACAAGCGGGGTGTTTAAGCTCTTAGTTTGGGTGATCATTTGTCCATTTTCTGACTTGACATTACTTTACGTCCCTTGTTTTGGCATGTACTCAAATATGAGTGCCTCAACATGTTGGGAGTTCCTTTGGTTTGCGCTTTCCTATCTTTTGGTAGGTCTGGGTTTTTCAACAAACACACCCAGAAAAGTTGTTTGTTTTTTGGGAATCGCCATTGGCTAGTTTGGGGCTCCCTAGTCTTGAGACATACCCAATGTCCCAAGATGCTAAAACACATCGGGCATTTTCTAAATCGGATAGTCAATCCCCTAAAAGTGGTGCCTTTCTTTTTGGTTTGCCTCAGAACGCCTTCAGAACGCCACCAGAACGCCGACCATTTTTTTCGCTGCACGGGAAAGCGAGTCTGACCTTGCGGGAATTGGGGCCAAACAGGACTTTGATGCATTTTGCTTGGATGTTAGGGCTTTAGCTTTTGGCCATCTAACGGGTTTTCCATTAGACAACTAAAGTTAAACTTTTAGCAGGGGAGCAGAAAGCAACCGGGGGGACACCAACCCAGTTTGAACTGATCCATCATGGCCGGCATGGTTGATTGGGCTCAATGTCCACCTGAATGAATGAAGAACGAACGAACGTCCGAACAAAGAAATGATGCAATGAATACAATGGATACAATGAATCCATGAATCAATGAAGCAATGCATCAATGAATAAAGGCAATGAATGCATGCGTAACTGCAGGAACATGGATGGATGAATTGGATGAGCTGGATGAATGCAATCAATGCAATCAATGCAGCCAATGCAATCAATGCAGTCAATGCAATCAATGCAATTGTTTTCAATGCATGCAACGATGGCAACGCATGCAAGGAATGGAATGAACGGAAAGAAAGAATGGAGCAATGAAACAA